CTGACCTGTGTATACGTCTCCGTATATTCCAAAAAACATTCTGTATTTATTGTAAGAAATATAATAAATATCTCTAACAATGCCGTGCTGTTCTATTCGGTGGAGTGGGAAAAACAGCAAAACATCTAATTACAAAATAAACGGAATCACATTTCATCAGTAATTAAATATTAAATATGTAATTTTGCTATTTTCGTCCATTATAGCAAAGCTCAAGTTAACTTGTCGATTTGAAGTGAAACAGTTGACGACACCCATCAATTGTTTCGAACTGGGGCTAGCCAATCGGAGCGCAGTTGTCACAGTAATGATATGGCAGAATAGTTTTCAAACAAATTAAATAACATTTCGTCTCTATTTCTGGTTATATACTCGATGACTATAGCTAATGTTCATAAGTTTTTTGTTATGTATTTTTTTATAGGAGTTACTTTCCCAGAAAGAAATTTTAGTGTCCAAAGTGTGGTTTATCTATGATGCATTTAACTTTATAATAATAATAATAATAACGGACACACTCGGCTCCGCACTAGGGAAACCCTGTACTGCGGATGCCATGGACATACATACAGGTAGAAAACCACAAATTACACCCCAATACACGAGAGAAATAAGTGGAGGCCATACAAATATTTCTCCCGGCTCGGGAATCCAACCTGGGACCTCTGCGTGGCAGTCCAGCATAGCAACCGTTCGGCCACGAAGGCAGTTACTTCATATGAATTACCCATCAGCAGATAAGAATAACAGCTAATTATATAATTTTACACTTTTAAACGCCATATGATCGAGTCATTTGACCCGATCACATTACGCATGGTTCCAACCGGGTTATCAGAAATGATCGAGCGACACAGGTCTAATAGTATATCAAAGTTCTTAATACGTTTCATATCTTTCCCTTAACCCTTTCATGGACAGTACTTAAAAAGTGCCACACACAAAAATAAAAATGGAAGTAAATTAATTTGCTACTCCGCGAACAATTCCACTTCCAAAAAATTTGGGTATATTTTTGGTGGTGGTTTGTGACTGTAGTTGCGCTTGAGTTATTTATTTTATTAATTTTATGCGGAGGGAGGGTGGGAGAATTAACTGCATGAAAAAATATTCAACACAAGCGCAGCTATTTTGCACGATTTAACCTTCACTGGGTTCATTAATTTACTTCCATTTTTATTAACATGGACTTCAGCAAAGTAACGCCTGAATCTATTAATTACTTACACACAAAAATGGTCGTACTTTTCTTACCGAAGTATATTGATACAAAAAAAAATGTTGAATGTTTGTAAATAATTGAATTAGTTAACGGAGACCCGTTGTCAGCCGTGACATAATATAATGTTACTATTTCTTGGTTGACTTCCTTTGATGACCTTAGTGGCAAAACGGTTTGCTATAGGTTCTAGATGATTCGATTCCCGTTAGAAAAGGTCACTTCTTCACTTTTAATCTGTTCTACTTTGAATGTTCTGGGTAGCGTTTTAAAATGGTCCCTTACTCTGGTACTCATAATAAAAAGAATTCCCTAGTTTGAGACTAGACAGTATCGCGCTTTATTATTTTAACCTCTACCGTCTTGAGAAAAAACAATCAGCAGCTTCATCGTAAATGTTAACATATTATACTCCGTCAAAATGTATCAAACGAATGAATGATACATTTTAAAACAGAGTAGTGTTGTAGTTTCGTTAAATATGGCCAATGAAAGACACTTGAACGTGGTGTTGAAAGGTTATAAATAGGACCACCCTATTTGTACTGTTAGTGTCGTAAAAAAGTTACGGTCAGTACATGAACAGCAACGTCTTCCTGTGTGTTAGATGGCAATTGTGCTGCGGTCAATAACCGGCGAGTCAAATGTGGCGATTATGGCTAATCATTCTTTTTTAACATTCTTTTTTAACCGATGAATGACTCACAAAAAAGGAGGACGTTCTCAATTCGATCGTATATTTTTGTGTTTTTCTCTTTTTGCGGCATTTGTGAACCGATTTTGAAGATTTTTTTGTTGGAAAGAGGGTACCTCAGTATTGGTCACATTTAAATTTGAAAAAAATATTCCACCTCTAAGGGGATGAACCCGGTATCGCGCACTTTCCGGTAACCAATTTCAATAAAACTGGGCAAATAAACATCATTCCACGTACTTTTGAGGTAAGTTTTTTTAGCACTCTGTACAGAGATCATCAGATAGGTAGGATAGAGTCTAGATGTGTATATTATTGTCTTTCCGGGTCAATATCATCGTGGGGTTTGGACAAGTAAAGAGAATAAATAAATGCAAATGTGTCATAAGAGTATTCGTATAGCGTGTAAGAAAGCACCGTTGCGTGATGATAAGGTGAAAAATTTACGTCAGGCTCGTGGCAAGTAGAAGGAAGCGGTCTGAGCATGAACTGTAAGTAGATGGTGACACTGTCAAAAGGGCTTATTCCCAGTTGTCACCAATAACACATTTTTTTCCCATTTGTCACCACGTCCTGGTAATATATGGTTTTTTTTGCATTTGTCACCAGTACAAATCACCACTGGCAACAACTGGGATTTTTTTATCCCGTTTGTCACCACCTGGTAACATTATGGGATTTTTTTTCCTATTTGTCGCCAGTGGGAACAAAGCCAATGGTGTCAACTGGGAATAATCCGACAAAAGTCTGACAAATAATTACTGATGATTTGTTTTGAAAAGGACATGTCAAAAACAATCGCTGTTTACATAAAAACAGTATTGATCAAGCTTCATAACACGAGTCTATTTTTCCGCTAATGAACAAAAAAGTTATCATTCTTTAATTACAGAGCGAAAAGAGGGAGTGTTGTTAAGGTGGCGAAGTGGGGGGGATGATAATCCGATAATAATTATTATTAATCGCTTATTGTTTCCCTTCGTTACAGAATTAATGGAAAAAAAAGATTAAGCTTGGGATTTGTTATGCTGTGATTGTTTTTGCTGATACACTCGTTTAGATATACAATACTACATTTAGCTACTAATGATATGGTCGATTCAGAACTCTTCGATATTTTTATCGAATCGTTCAATCAAACCAATCAAATCGTTTATTTGCATAAAACATGGTGGTCATGATAACACAGTAATATACATATAAGTACAAGCATGTCTCGCCCGAAGATAATTTAGGCATGCAAAATAAATGAAAAATAGGTCGTCACATAGTTACATTTAGATTAAGTTCTATATAATTAATTTAAATTCTTTTACATAAAATTTATTGTGGAAATTCCCTAATACTGTAATATATTTTATTCTTTAACAATTCATATAATTTAGTCTTAAATAACGTAATGGGCAAGTGTTTAATGTCATTTGGTATACTATTGTAAATTCGTTCTCGAATCGAAGGGCGGTTTCCGAGCTTATTCAGTCAAACGTTCGACTCGGATACGATATCGTTATCCAACAGCGTTTACAGAGTTAGTCAGTGAAATAGATTATAAGAAAAATGAAAATGCTTTTACGTGCATTTTTAAAATTTGAAAGGCCTAAAATATAGGAATGCATTAGTCTTGCATTAAAATAAATTAATAAAATTGAATAAAATCCAGACTTTATTTAAAATAACAAGAGATTTCCTTATTAATTCTTGCTTTGTAAACAATAGGACGTTCGGTAACTTTCATTCGTAACTGTGTTCTTAATAATGTTTGTAGCCTTTGCTGGTCGAGAAGTTCTAGTGATCGTACGGGAGTGACGTCATTTCGGCTCGGTTTCGAATTCGACAGTCTGACGTTTGTAGTGCGCTTATAGTTAGCACCTGAGATCGTGTTGTTTTTTGTTACATCAGAATGCGAGTAACACTTGATTATTTTATAGTTGAATTATCGTCCTTGCACGCTTTCTAAAAAAATTGTAATAGGTTTCTTTGTGTTCTTATGTAAGTGAATTACTTGTAATTGTTAATGAGAATAAATATCGTAAGAGTCGATGCTACCTTAGTTCTTTTTGCTTAGGTCGAGCGGTAGGGACACTGACGTTATTTCAGCATTAATTTTTTTACGTATTTTTTATAAAGTCTTTTGAAAAATGTATATCGTATACTACACGTGTTCGTGTTAGTTGAGTTGATATTAAAAAAATCATTGGTATATGTAAAATACCTATTGAATACAGCGGTTTTCTTGTAAAATTTTGAGGTAAGGTCATTGACTTACAAATAAATGGACGACGGGTCTAATACAAAAACCACGAAAAAAATGTCCCAAGTCAACCTATTTAAACGTAGTGACATGTAAAGGAATATGAAAAAGCTAAAACGTTGAATTTAAATTGTCATCGCTGTACTGTCTAATTTTGCTTGCTTCGCTGTCAGTCGAACAAACGAAGACTAAAGCGTGAATGACGCTCTTTATACGATTTTAACGCCCTATAAGTTCGGACACTTTTTACCGCGGAATCGACGTCCATATAATTTAAGGTTAAACAAACTTACCTTAAGTGAAGTTTGACCATAATTACACGAGCCGTTACATCCGAAGACATTTACATAATTCACTAGGTAGTTCACTCTTCTATGTACTAGGCATCGAACACAATTTTAGATCTATATAAAGAAAAAAAGAATGAAAACGATTAGCATGAGTGGGGCGTGCCCCCCGCGCCTTCACCCGCTCCCGCGCATCCATGACACGTCATTCATTTCAGAGATATAGCTATTTCGAAAAATAGGATTTCAATAGGGTCATTTTATAACCTTATATAGGGATGGGTGGGTGTGTAAATGTCTTCGGATGTAACGGCTCGTGTAATTATGGTCAAACTTCACTTAAGGTAAGTTTGTTTAACCTTAAATTACACTTCGCCGTTACATCCTCGACATTTACATAATTCACTAGGTAGATGTTTAGCGCTCATTTGAGAAATAGCTTTTTAGAATATTTTTTTTTTTTTTTTTTTTTGGTATAAATATGAGTCGGATAGGCTTATGAAAAAAAACCCAAATAAATATTTATGACTAATTTTAATCAACATTATGAGATTTTTTAATTTTTACTCTTTAACAATCCTCAAAGATAGCTTGTGCGAAAACATTATCATTATTCTGTTCAAGAGGTCTATTGTAGAATTTTCCAAAAATTAACGAGTTGCCAGACCAGCCTGCAGTCTGTTTTATTATGTCTACCGAAACGCCTCTACGATTAGCCGCTGATGTAGAAGCATGTCGAGCACTATGTGCTGTGAATATAGAGGTGTTTATACCACTTTCGGATAACACCAATTTAATCCAGCGACTAATCGTAGATGCAGTCGCGTTATGGAAGGGTCTTTTGGTAGTGAGAATGAGCTTATCTGAATTCTGGCCGTCTCGAAGTAATTTTGTGGAATTTATATACGACACTAAGGTTTTTGCCGGACAGATTTCCGGTCTGTTGGGGAAGAAAGGAATACTTAGTCTAGGCATTTGTTTTCCAGGTGCTGAGGTCTTAATTAGATTATCTATTATAATTATTACATTAGATTCATTGAAAGCAATATTACATATGTTAATTATTGACAACGTCTGGACTCGTTGTGCAGTTGACAATGCGAGCAGAGTCACCAATTTTTTTGTTAATTGGTCTAAAGGTAAGTCCTCATTAGGATACCAATTGGAAATGAAATCTAGAACAAGGTTTGTGTCCCAAGTACACTGGTATTTTGGAAAACATGGCTTCTTTTTGAAAACTCCTTTGAGAAATCTGATTATGTAGTCGTGTGAACCCACATTTTTTCCTAGAACTAATGATAAGGCCGAACGATAGGTATTTAAAGTAGAATAGCCTGCCCCAGCGTCGAACAATGTTGTAAAAAACTTTAGTATGAATGGAATAGACACTGAAAAACAATCAGCAATTTTATTTGTATTACAAAATAGCCACCATTTTTTGTATGCGCTATTATATTGTTTTAAGGAACTTTCTGACAAAGAAGCTATCATTATATCTATAGTTTCTGGGGTTAGATTCTGTTGGGAAAATGCTCGCCTGATAAAACTGATGACACCAGGGTAAGGCTCCGCCATAGAGGATGCCGTGTCCTGCAAGGAGATAAGAGAAGCTGACTTTGTGGCAAGAAGTGTACTGGTTTTGCTATTTGCAGTGAGATATATAACGGATACCAGGGTTGACTCGGCCAGTACGGGACCACCATAATGCCTTGAGCTTTATTATCTATTATTTTTCGAAGGCATTTCAAGATGAGACTGAAAGGTGGAAAAGCATAGAAAAAATAATGCCCCCAGTGCAATGTAAATGCGTCAATATTAAAAGCGTGTGGGTCACGTTTCCACGACACATATTTTTGACATTTAGCATTAAGACGGGTAGCAAACAAGTCTATTTCCGGGTGTCCAAATTCAAAAATTATTCGGTCAAAAGCTAAACCTGACCATTCCCACTCTGTATCAATATTAGTGCACCGAGACTCTAGATCGGCCTCGATATTCTCTTTTGATTTTATATATGAAGCAAAAATAAAAAGCTTACGTTCTTCACACCATTGCCATATATTGCGACTGATATCATTAAGGTGTGGATATTGGACTCCTCCCATTCTATTTATGTATGATATGGCTGTCGTATTATCTATTCTTAATAATATTTCTTTATTTGTAAAGTTATTAGCAAAGCATTTTAAGGCAATAAAAGCCGCTCTCAATTCTAGATAATTGATATGATTTTGGGCTTCATCTGAACTCCAAAATCCACCAGTACGCTCCCCGTTACATGCTGCTCCCCAACCGGTCAGAGATGCATCTGTAAATATTTCTACAGCATACTGAAAATGTCTAATAGGATTAATAGAAGAATTAGCTAGATTTTTCCACCATAGTAGATCTGGGTCTAGATCCTTATTTATAGTCATGTATTCATCATAATTTTCATTAGATTTCTGAAGAGCGAGAAATTTTGCTTGTTCAAGACGCTTGGTGTACATCCAGCCATAACTCACAGCGGGACAAGCTGACGTTAATAATCCCAATACCTTTGCAAAGTCTCTAATAGGTATTTTGTTCTTTTTCGACAATTTTTTAACAATTTCTCTAATTTTTAATTGCTTTTCAGGTGGTAATTTTAAGGCCATTTCCAGGGAATCTAATTCAAAGCCTAAAAAGTTGATATTCTGTTTAGGGGTTAACTTACTCTTATTAAAGTTTATTACAAAGCCCAGTCGTTTTAAAAGGTCAACCGTTTTAGAAACTTCGCGGGAACAATGTTCATACGTGTTGCTGATACATAATATATCGTCCAGGTACACTACAAGCAAATGACCATTATTTCGTAAGTAAGTAGCAACCGGCTTAAACAGTTTGGTAAAAACGAACGGCGCCGAACATAGACCGAAAGGGAGGCATTGAAATTCGTAAGTACAGCCCTGAAATTTGAACCTAAGGTATTTTCTACAAGAAAGATTAACAGGAATTAAAAAGTATGCGTCCTTTAGGTCAATACTTGCCATAAAACAAGATTTAGAAATAAGCTTGGAGGCAGTTCTTATGTCCTCCATTTTAAAGTGTTGTGTATAAACAAATTTATTTAATCTTTTTAAATTGAGTATGAATCTGAAGGTACCATCTTTTTTAGGAATTAAGAAAATTTTTGAAATGAACTGATCTGGGATGTCTATGCATTTTTTGATGACCGCCAATTGCAATAATTTATTTATTTCGTTATGTATATTTTCAATTTCTAGTGAAGAATAATATGGATTTGTAGGTTCTATATATTGTACAACTGGACACTTAAAAGGTATCTTATAGCCAGTAATGTATTCTAAAACAACTGGATCATTTGTAATACATTTCCAGACATTATAAAAATGCCTTAAACGCCCCGCATGTGCATTTACCTCTGTTACGATTTCTGTGTAATCTTGTGGCCCGTCCTCGACGATGGCGGCTGGTATCTGTCTACTGGCGTGGGCGGTGGCCGTCTGCCGGTTGTCGCCGACGTCGGTGGACGGTACCCGTTTGCTCTGTTCCTGCCACTCTGTTGCCTGGACAGGCTTCTGGCGTTTCCCTGGCGGGCTGTATATTTGTTAGTTCGGTAGCTGGTCGAGGGTTGAGGTTCTTTCCTCTTGACCTGTAAACCTGATCTTTCGGCAATCTTCGTTGCTTTAATTTTTTCTCCTAGGTTATCTCCAAACAAATAAGAGTCTCTTTTTACATTTTGAACCATGTTGATGAACTTTTTGTCTAAACAAAACATGATCAGCTTCCTTCTATTAATAGTATTTTGATAGTGTAAATCCAGGAGCAACTGTCCAGTTTCAGACAATCTTTTAATAATTTCCGTCTTTTCTGCATTGCCATCGATCAGGGTTGTCATCAAGTTGGTTACTGCTGCTATTCCTATGCCGAGATGATGTTGGGCCTTCTCCAGGCGCTTGTCCCTATTTCTAGAAGATTCGTTTAGCACAGCTGATATTTCTGGATTTAGTTTTGGCGCTTTAAGTAGCTGAAAATTTTCTGGTATAAGGGCGCTTTCCAATAGATTCTGCCTCTGCTCTTTACCAAGACCGTCCATGAGTATGCTTCCCCAGCGTTTAGAGACTTCATCTCTGATTTTTGGGCCGAACTTTTCTTCTTTTGCCTTTGAGTCTCCTAATATTGCGAGAATGTCTGATGATAGACATGAAGCATTTTCCAAAGTATTGTTACTTGTGTGAGTGACACTAGGTGCATCATCATTGCCCTTTGAGGCACTAGGGTCCTTATCACAGCTTTGTGGAGTTGATACCTGAAGATCCGTGGTCTCTGTTGGATATCTGTGCGTATTAGCATCAGCTATCACGGATCGGACGGTTTGTCTATCCATGTCTGAATAATATTCATGTGACGAAATGCCGTCACAATCTGACTGCTGACCCATAGAACTCGAATACTCCGATTCGTAACCTGTAAAGACATACACTGCCTATATACTAGCCCTTCGTGGCCACTAACATGGCCTTGATCGCATCAAGGCACTGGATCTTAGATCCGATATGTAATTGCAAAGGACGTAATCTCGTCACGCCACGTAAATGCAAAGAATAAAATAAATCAAATTAACCAACTTTTTCATTGGTACATATTTAAAATACTAGTTGTGACTTGTATAATATTAGCTGTAATCGCATCACAGCATTATAAAGGTGATATTATTATTATATACATAGCCGTGAGCGTCATTCCTTCACAGCGAATTAAATAAATAAAATTATTTGACAGGTGTGCGAAAGTGAAAATTTCCGCACTTTGTAAAACAAAGACAAAATTTAAATTAAACAGTTACAATTTGTTGATATTCTTCAATATGAAGCTTATGCACTCCGTACATGAAGCGTACATTGTGCAAAAAAGATAAAACCGATAATCAATATCCACTTACTGTCATCGTCCTCCATATTGCGGCGGTAAAGGCGTTCTTCTAAACGCCGAATTTTTCGTCGTATTTTATCGGGATCCTTATCTTTACATTTCCTTTTTCTCATTATCACTTACACTTTGTATTTTACGTAGTACGAACTTAATAATTACACTAAAAACTTTCACTTTTAAATATATTGATTATTCGAAAAAAAAACAGTCGTTTCGATGCCAGCACAAAGAAAGCGAATGACGTGTCATGGATGCGCGGGAGCGGGTGAAGGCGCGGGGGGCACGCCCCACTCATGCTAATCGTTTTCATTCTTTTTTTCTTTATATAGATCTAAAATTGTGTTCGATGCCTAGTACATAGAAGAGTGAACTACCTAGTGAATTATGTAAATGTCGAGGATGTAACGGCGAAGTGTAATTGTAAGTCAATGGGTAAGGTTGTGTTTTTTTCTATCGTAAACAGTTTTAGGAATCGTGTTTTGACACCGTATAATACTTTAGTTGTATTATTACATACAACTACAAAAGAAAAATCTTCTAAATACACTACAGTTGTGATGCAATTACTTCCGAAGGAGGCTTTGTGCACTCTGTGTATAACTTCCTTTAAAAGCCTAGGTAAATATACTCTGCCGTTTCTAATCTTTGGTTAAAACATAAAAAGCAAGGGAAACAAAGAGAAATAAATATGTGATTAAATTGCGGTAGCCGTTATCATTTAATCTGTTAAGCAAATACCACAGTACAGCTGCGTAAAACGAAATTAATCCTCCTCAAAATCGGATAAAGGAAACTGTAAATTTTTGTAACGGTCTTGTAATTACTTGTGATAAGCGAGAAGCGGCAGCGATGGCGGAAATCGGGTAAGTCAAATTGTTATTAAATTCTTGCAACTTCGTTGTCACTCTATTTAGCACTTAACTCAATGTTAAATGCCACTTACATACTGGTAATTTAGAACTTGGTTATTTTGACACTTGGCCATTTCGAAACTTGGTCATTTTACTATACATTCAAATTTCACAGCATTCGCGTTCGAAAGACTTTCTTTTCACTAAATCACATCCACAACTAACAAACAAACTTGGCCACCCCACGCTTTATCAGCTACCTCACCCAATGTATCAGGGCTCTTACACATAATCACGACCGTATTTATATGTACTACCATGTTTATATGTAAGAGCCCTTAAGACGCGACGTCGTGTACGCCCTCGTAGCACAACGCGACGTCGTATCGTGTTTATGTGTAAGAACCCTTAGGGTGCCAATGTTATTAATTTAATTTAGACCTATCTTTTGTTCGTAAGCTTTGATCGTATTTTAATACTTCAAAATACACAAAATATTTTTTAAGGCATTTAGGTAATGAAAAATTCTAATTAGGTATTTTGATACGAGTGTCAACATTGGAAAAAGGCATATTATCGCACTGCTATTAGAATAGTGTTGTAACTCAAAATATGTGAAATTCAAGATTATACTATTACGGAACGTAAAATTTGATTCTCTACCAGTCAATAAAACCGTCATTCAAATATTGTAAGAAACAATTAAAATAAATCTATTTAACTCACAATGAGAGAAACTTTTTGCGAACTAGTTCTGGACAAAACAGTCTTAATAAATAAGTTTCTAAAAAATATTAAGTTATTTTTTTCCTTTTATTTGGCAAGTAGGGAATTGTTTAGATGTCTGTAATAAATAAAGTTTAACCTATACATAAATTTTAACAATATTTCGCTGGAAGTGAGTAATTCGTTTTTCATCGATTCTGAAAAAATAAACTTTTTGAGTTAATACACTATTGTATTAACAGTGCGATATGTTCTATGCTTAAGCAATTTTGATACTTAGACACAAATAATAATTATTAATTTCTGTACATTGGTTATTTTAATGTTTAGGACATTATTGACCGGTTTCCCTTAGTCGATATCCATGACACCCAAATACATTGAAGTCATTTTCCTCATCAATACACGGCACTTACTGTTATGCAAAACAACGTTTTGATTAACTATCATAAATAACGAAATTTGATACTAATTCCATAAAGCTAAAAGCTTTTAACGCAAAATATATAGAATGAACCAGCTAAATTGAACTTTTAGACAAAGTCCCTGAATAAAAAAGAATCTTTGTGAATAACTATCAGTGTGTAAACCGTTTCGGAGAATTTGTTCATTCAGTTTTTTTAGTTCTGTTCCATTTTGTTAGTGAATTGATTGCGAACAAAGGTAATTGCAAGTTATTTACCCTTAATTTACTTATTGGTTTTGTGCAATCGTGTGACAAGTCCAAAAATGTTGCAATTGACGAAATCCAAATGATACAATGCGTTTGCAGTTGCTTTTTGTCGTATTACGTTACGTCGAATTTGTTTGTGACAAATATTTTTTCTTTTATTAAAAAAAATTAGTCTTTCAATTTTTTTATTAAATATCTATTCAATAAAAAATTTAAATACAATGAATAGCGACATCTCTAGTCAGGGCTGGTAGCTATAAAGGTACTAACTGGGTGACGAAATACTTAAGATTTCTCATAGATGGCGCTACGGCTAAAAAGTTGTTGAAAAAACCAAATACAAAGACACGACAACAAACACATACAAAAATTCGTGAGGTCCGCTGGTTGGTCCCGTGGCTTAGTTGGTATAGCATCTGCCACGGTATGCTAGAAGACGTCGGTTCGAATCCGGTATAATGTAATATTCAGTCCTCCTCTCTCCTCCTTGTGAAAAAGTTCGTCTAGGGAAGTACTGCCCACCTTACCTATTTCTGCCGCCAAACAGAAGTTTGAGCATTACTGTATTCCAATTTTGAAGGGTAATGAATAAGGGTGCTGGTGAAATTACAGGCACATGGGACTTGTCAAATCAATAAAACTCTGAGTGGCACTATATCTATTATAGACAGGCGTGTCGCTTACCACCAGGTGTATGACTTGTCCTGTCAAGTATTACAAACAAAAAATCTATGAAGCTTCTCACTCAATCGGTGCCTTTACTTGTACTGTAGCTCAGTCGGTATACTGGTAGCCCTGGTGTAGTGCTAGCAGGTTCGAGTCCAGTTAAATCGAAGGAAGTTTTCTTGTTGTAATTAATGCTATGAAGGGTTTTGATAAGATATTATTATTGATAAGGATTAAGGTCTATTTTTCACCTCTCGGTACTAGCTCGGAAATGCTTTCTATCTCATTAGAAATCTGCGCGCTAAAGCGTTTTTCCACGCTAGTGGAAAAGGTTTTTGAAATTCGAACTTGACGATGGATTGTGGTGCGCCTTTTGATAAAAAAAAACATAATGACACGTTCAACTACGCGATTGTCGCACATTATTTGTGTAATTTAAATTTGTTGGTATATTTTATTCCTATTTATTGTTGACATTAAATTTACAACGGCAATCAATTTTGTTTATTAAGACTAACTTGTTATAGTTCAATTGTTTTTCTTTCATCTACCATTTTCTCGCTTTCACCTCGCGCAAAGTTGTGTGTTTCGCATGGCAGAAAAGCATCTGTGCGTCTTGTGCTTTGAAACCCTCGCTTCGCTCAAGATTCTATTTTTGGTGTCCTTCGCTTGCCCGGGTTTCAATATAAGCTCTTGCGTCAAACAACAACTTTGCAGCCTTGCATAAGAATAACTATATCTAGTGTGTTATGGACTATTTTTAACCGTCTTTAAGAATAAGGACGTGGTTCTCAATTCTCAATTTTTTCTTTTTTTTGTTACATGATTAGTCGGCGGCATTTGTCAACCGATTTTGATGATCTTTTTTTTGTTGGAAAGAAGGTACCTCAGTAATGGTCCCATTTAAATTTGTAGAAAATATTCCACCGCTGAGGGTGGCAAACTAGGGTATAAATTAGACTTGCAACGAATACTCGGTTACTATTCGGTATTCGCCTTATTAAATCGCTATTCGGCCGAATACCTAAAAACAGGAGGAAGAAATAAGAAAATACAGTAAATTATCACAAATAGTAACTTCTATGAGATAAAAAAAGGTAACGAATCAAATGAACGCTACCTACTTATTACGTAACTTTGTCATGACATCATGATTAAATAAACAGTAACAAAATAAACGTAGTTATTATTTGCAAACGAAAATAAAATTAAGTTTTTGAAAGTTAATCAAACTGAAGTGAAATAATCAATTACTTTCTTCGTTAAGATGTCATAAATTTGAATTATAAACTTGAAAATTAAATTTACTTTTTGTTTATTTTCACAAAATCATCCATCATTACTTGTTTAATTTAATTTAACTTATATATGTCGCAGAGTGACCAACGCCATCTACGTTATTTTGTTTGTGATTG